TATTTTTGGTGGTATTTTGGTGGTATTTTGGTGGTATTCTTCCTTTTGGGTGGTGTTCTTTGGTTGTATTCTTTGGGTGGTTTCTTCGGTGGTATTTTTGGTTGGTATTCTTTGGTGGTATCTTTGGTGGTGTTTTTGGTGTTTTCTTTTGGTGGTATTCTTTGGTGGTGGTGGTCTTCGGTGGTATTCTTTGGTGGTATTCTTGGTGGTGTTCTTTGGTGGTGTTCTTTGGTGGTGTTCTTTGGTGGTGTTCTTTGGTGGTGGTTCTTTGGTGGTGGTGTATTCTTTGGTGGTATTCTTTGGTAATTCTTGGTGGTGGTATTCTTTGGTGGTATTCTTTGGTGGTGTTTTTTGGTGTTTGATTCTTGGTGGTATTCTTTGGTGGTGTTCTTCTGGTGGTGTTCTTTGGTGGTGTTTTTGGTGGTGTTCTTTGGTGGTGTTCTTTGGTGGTATTCTTTGGTGGTATTCTTCGGTGGTATTCTTGGTGGTATTCTTTGGTGTGTTCTTTGGTGGTATTCTTTTGGTGGTGTTCTTTGTGGTGTTCTTCGTGGTGTTTTTGGTGGTATTCTTTTTGGTGGTGTTTTTTGGTGGTATTCTTTGGTGGTGTTCTTTGGTGGTGTTCTTCGGTGGTTTCTCTTTGGTGGTTTCTTTTGTGGTCTTTGGTGGTGTTCTTTGATTTTGGTGGTTCTTGGTGGTATTCTTTGGTGGTATTCTTCGGTGGTATTCTTTGGTGGTGTTCTTTGTGTGGGTGTGTTTCTTGGTGGTGGTTCTTTGGTGGTGTTCTTTGGTGGTGTTCTTTGGTGGTTTCTTTGGTGTGGATTCTTTGGTGGTATTCTTTGGTGGTATCTTCTTTGGTGGTTTCTTTGGGTGGTGTTCTTTTGGTGGTATTCTTTGGTGTTTCTTTGGTGGTGTTCTTGGTGGTGTTTTTTGGTGTTCTTTGGTGGTGTTCTTTTGGTGGTTTCTTTGTGGTGTTTTTGGTGGTGTTCTTTGGTGGTATTCTTTGGTGGTGTTTTTGGGTGGTATTCTTTGGTGGTGTCTTTGGGGTTTCTTTGGTGTTTTTTTGGTGTTTTTTGGTGGTGTTCTTTTGGTGGTTTTTGTTGGTTATTCTTTGGTGTTTCTTTGGGTTTTCTTTGGTGGGTGGTCTTTTGGTGGTGTTCTTTGGTGGTGTTCTTGGTGGTGTTTCTTGGTGGTATTCTTTGGTGGGTATTCTTTGTGGTGTTCTTTGGTGGTATTCTTTGGTGGTGTTTTTGGTGGTCGGTGGTCTTTGGTGTTCTTTGGTGTGTTTCTTTGGTGGTATTCTTCGGTGGTATATTCTTTGGTGGTATTCTTTGTGGTTTCTTTGGTGGTGTTCTTTTGTGGTGTTTTTGGTGTCTTTGGTGGTATTCTTTGGTGGTGTTCTTTGGTGGTATTCTTTGGTGGTTTCTTTGGTGGGTGTTCTTTGGTGATTCTTTGGTGGTTTCTTTGGTGTTTTTTTGGTGGTGTTCTTTGGTGGTTTTCTTTGGTGGTGTTTTGGTGTTTTTGGTGGTATTCTTTGGTGGTGTTCTTTGGTGGTTTTCTTTGGTGGTTTTCTTTGGTGGTGGTTCTTTGGTGGTGTTCTTTGGTGGTTTTCTTTGGTGGTATTCTGGTGGTTTTCTTTGGTGTTTATTTTGGTGGTGTTCTTGGTGGTATTCTTGGTGGTCTTTGGTGGTATTTTTGGTGGTTTTCTTTGGGTGGTGTTCTTTGGTGGTGGTTCTTTGGTGGTATTCTTTGGTGGTATTCTTTTGGTGGTATTCTTTGGTGGTCGTTCTTGGTGGTGTTTTTGGTGGTGTTCTTTGGTGGTATTCTTTGGTGGTATTCTTTGGTGGTATTCTTTGGTGGTTATTCTTGGTGGTTTTCTTTGGTGGTGTTTCTTTGGTGGTGTCTTTGGTGGTATTCTTTGGTGGTGTTCTTTGGTGGTGTTTTGGTGGTATTCTTGGTGGTATTCTTTGGTGGTATTCTTGGTGGTATTCTTTGGTGGTGTTCTTTGGTGGTTTTCTTTGGTGGTGTTCTTTGGTGCTTTGGTGGTCTTTGTGGTATTCTTCGGTGGTATCTTTGGTGGTGTTCTTTGGTGGTATTCTTCGGTGGTGGTGGTCTTTGGTGGTGTTCTTTGGTGGTTCTTCTTGGTGGTATTCTTTGGTGGTATTCTTTGGTGGTCTTTGGTGGTGGTGTGTTCTTTGGTGGTGTTCTTTGGTGGTGTTCTTTGGTGGTGTTCTTTGGTGGTATTCTTTGGTGGTGGTGGTATTCTTTGGTGGTATTCTTGGTGGTTTTCTTTGGTGTGTTTCTTTGTGGTGTTCTTTGGTGGTGTTCTTTGGTGGTATTCTTTGGTGGTATTCTTTGGTGACTTTGGTGGTATTCTTTGGTGCCTTTGGTGGTGTTCTTTGTGGCTTTGGTGGTTTTTGGTGGTGTTCTTTGGTGGTGTCTTTGGTGGTTCTTCTGGTATTTTGGTGGTGTTTCTTTGGTGGTATTCTTCGGTGGTATTTTT